TCGCGGGCACTGCTTAATTGCTGTGGCTGTCGGAGCTGCAGCAGGCACCGCCCCTCCCACCGCCAGGTCTCTGGCCCCCTGGGCAGCCGCGCAAGCCAGAAATGGTGACAGAAAAGCCGTTTCAACTTCTTTTTCTAACCATTTTTCAGATGTACCCGAACAGGAAAACACAAAGACAGAAGGTGGATGGACAATAGCTGTGACTGTCATTTTTATATTGACTATATGTGGGGTTGCTTTTTATTATAGAAAATGGAAGAGCAGGAAAAAGAAAAACCAGGTAAGTGGAATCGGGAGCGATGCTCTCTCTACCTTTTGCATAAAGACAGCGTTCCCGTCGGTGGGCTGGGAAGTTAGGACGCACTGCGTAGTGTCTGCAGGACCACTCCTGGAAGCCCCCGGCATCTCGGTTGACATCAGACTCGGTGATGGAAAGCGCCTCTTGCTATAAAAAGCGTGTGCGCATCTGAATAAGTGTTGAAAGGCGTACCAGAGAAAAGGAGATCTTCCCAGTCCGTGAAGGGAAGCTGATGGTTGCGTGGCTATAATAACGTGGTCTGTCACTGCTGTGTCTTGGGGGATCATTAAGGAACTGGAGAATGAGGGCTGCTCAGCAGTCTCCTTAAAGGCAAAAGTCATTTACTTTTGAGCCGCAAGTGTTGCATCCTATTCCAAGGTTGTTAATGGGACCTAAGGGCCCAGGCCCCGTAGTTTTCTTAGCTGTGAACATATATCTTGCACACGCTACTTCCTTGAGGGCTGGGTGCTGGAAAAGTGGGGGTTTTGAGGCTTTTTCGATATGCTTCACAAAAAGCCCTCCTTGTAATCGCTTTGTGCCTAGGAAGGAGGAATATCCAAGTGGTGCTCTGAAACCAATCTGTCCGGGCTGATTGGTTTGGTTGGATTTTTCTTTTCCAAGCGGGCTGGTTTTCCACCCCCACCTCTCCCCTCCCTTAGCATTAGCTGGAAAATGACCCTTTAGAAAAAGTCCTCTTCAAGTAGAAAGCCAAGTATGAAGTGTTCCCCTTTGACGGCCAGCAGTCGTGAAGGTGCTGAGACAGGAGAACGGGATTAGGATGGGGATGGTTTCCCTGCCTTAACCATAGAGGTTGCTGGTGGTGGCTGCTGGGATACAGGAATCCCATTTCTGTTCCTGCGTCGGCCACTTACTTGAATTTTATTGTTTTGTAGAAATCTGTGTGCGCTGCCGTGAAGGAGTCCAGAGACTTCCCAAACCTGCTACTTGCATTCAACAATTCATCTTTTGGAAGAGACAGTCGGGTCGCATCTGGGTTGTTATAAAAGGGAAGGTGGTGCACACGCGTGGAGAGATCCACGACTGTGTTTACAGAAGCCAGGAGTTTCTGAGCCCCGTATCGTCACGTGAGCTAGTCACTGCCCAGGAGCTGCGATCTGAGCGGATGTTACTGCTTGGCTCTGTGGGGACAGGGATAAGTGCCATCTCTCAACAGCTCTTGGAAAACTGGGCTTCAGGAGAAAGCAAGATGGCCTATAGCCATGTGACTACTATATCATTCAGTGACTTGAACTCCATCGAGACGCCCATCATCGTGAAAGCGCTTCTGGAACAGAAGTGCGAACAGCTGCTTTCAGTCCTGAGTGATCAAAACAGTCATGAAAAGGTATTAATTATTCTTGATGGGCTGAATGAGTTCCGGTAGGATCTGAACTGCCTCCAGTTCCCCAGCGGCGGGGAAACCGATGGGATGGATAGCGCCTTTGACATAAAAATATTGGTGTACAAAATCATTGCCGGGGATCTTCTCCGTAACGCAGATGTGTTAGTTACTGCTCGGGGTCATTCAGTGAGTGGAATTAGCAGGCGTTTTCGTTATTTGGTTGTGATCCCTGAATTCAGTGCTGCCGATATTAAGGACTCCTTCAATACATCAGATAAACAGATGGAGAAATGTAGCTCTGAGTCTAGAGGAGAAAGCAAGTTGTTGGCACTATATGCTTTTCCTGTGCAAATTAATATGCTCTGTGATTCCTTGAGGCACATTCCAAGCAGTTGTGCTAACGGAGGACCAAGTGTTGGCCAAGCCGGTATGTTGGGACAAGAAGGAAGTTGTTGCATTAACATCGACTCGGATGGAGCTAGTCGTGTAGCACTGCTGAGACTTCCAGAGAGTATTAAAGATGTTATCCGTCGACTGGCAAATATGTCCTTTGAGCATCTGATGCTCGGTGTCCGAAAAATAAAGCAAGCCGACCTCAACAAATGGCAGATTGATCCAAAGCTTCTCTCAAAGTATTTTTCCAAGTTCATTTGTAAGGCAAATGGAAGTGGTGAAGTCTTTTCCTACCGCCACAGTGGGATAAGAGAGATGTTTGCTTCCTTGTATGTTGTTCTGGAAACCCAGTCCAGAGAGGTGCTGGCAGTATGCCTGAATGCCATGAAGATCTATATAGCCTGCACTCATAGGGCAGAAATGCAGAATTTTGACCTTTTCTTCATGGCCCTTCTGCCTTACAGCAATATTGAAAGCCTCCTGCATGCTGCAGGTCCCCTCCTTGACCCGGCACGACACATTCTTCTGGACTGGTTTCAACGCTGGATTGCCGCAGGGCTTAGTCCAACAGACACGCTGAAGGTTTTCCATTGCCTTTTTCAGCTGCACGATCATTCTCGGGCTGAAGAAGTGTCTCGCCCTCTGAAGACCATCACCCTGCGTAATGTTGCCCTCAGCGCTGCGGAGGCTGGAGCCCTGCAATATTGTTTGGATCAACCCGCTCTAGATACGATCGACCTCCAAGGATGTGAGCTGGGGGACGAAGGCTTGGAGCAGTTTTCTTCCGTGATAAGGAGCTGTAAAGATGTCGGGTCAGTTCTGGTAACGTTTGGTATTGTTATGGGAAAGCGGTGGGGGGATGTGAGAGTGGTGCATACAGCATTCTCTTTCCAACATAAGAAATTAAAAGACCCTGTCTCAGAAACAAAGTAATCCTGGGATAGTGTGTGGTAGTTCACTAGGGGTCAGCTCTGCCTCTGATAGGCTGTCATGCAGCTCGTGGGCATCTCGGGGCGTTTGTAGACTGAACAAAATTTCCCGTTTACATCGACACAACTGTCGATGTGTGGGAGGCACATCTTTGCCCCAGTGCTTCATACAGCAGGACCAGCAAAGCTTGGTGGGGTAAACCAGTGCTCCACAAGCTGCAGAACAGGGAATCTAATGCAGCACAGGCACTGCAGTCATCTTACTCAGTGCAGTACCTAAAAATGGAGCTGCTTTGAAGCCGATTTATGCAAACGTTTAAAACAGACTGTTGCCTCCCCTGTCCTTGGCTGCAGCTCACAGTCTCTCTTCCCCTGCCCCACCACTCACAGTGTTTGTTTGACTCGCAGGATAAGTTACAACAAGTTGAGTGAGAAATCTGGAGGGACCTTGCAGAGAGCCCTTGAACACCCACACTGCGCCACTGAATCTCTGTCGTAAGGGCGCTGCAGGGTCACTGCGCGGTGCGGGGGGCGACGGGGCCAC